ATGTGAAGTAAAAACTTTGTACTCCTTTTTACGAAAATTGCGCAAATGGAGAAGTATGAAATTTCACACTTATAGTTTACATAGAGAAGGAGTGCAGAATGCTAATATTTCTTTTTATAGTATGCATAAAAATACATTCAATCATTTTAAAAAAAACATTACACGCACTACCATGTATAATTAATTATGGACGAATTTCGACCACTTTTACGGATTAATAGACATTATAGCTAGGCATCTTACGTTATATTTTGAATAATTATCCTTAAACGAACTAGAAATGTGCATTAAGTAAGGTACATAATACACATTTCTAATACATTACCAAGCTATAATCGAGCATGTAAAAATAATATTATGGTATAGCAACACACACTTTGTATTGATTTCTTGTTTTTATGCGAATGTTATACATGGTTCAATGGATAAATTTCACTTATTTTATCAAGTTTTAATTTTGATTTTTAACTCCCTATGGTTCGAAAACATTTCAGAGTTTATGGTCACGGGACAGAAAAATTATATTTCACATAACCCTTACGAAACAATGCATTTTGTGGCAGCGTGGTCGTCTGCGGTAACATGTAAAAATAAAATGTATAGCACAGAACATTCGTATGTATTATAGCTGCCTCTGTGACAAGCTTAATATTAAACTTCCGAAAATGAAAGAACATGTAATTTGCATATTTAATTATAACTTCTGAAAAATCTTCCTGAATTTTCTACTAGAAGTCCTAAAAGGTTATTAATTATATATATTGATGCTATCTATATAAACAGAAGAGCATGTAATTTTTTGTTGGATGATTGGTTATTTCGATTTACGCAAGACTAAGTTTTCATTGGCTTTCAAGACCCTACCTGTGTCACAAATGTGGACATGCGTGCTTCACCAATTTCGAAGGATACGAGAAGTAGAGTTCCGGCATGCGGATGACGTCAACAGAAACAGACTATATCATTAGTCGTCTGAGACCGGTGAGAACAAACCTTAAAAAGGCATTCAAGTGCCGCTTCTGTTCCATCACTACGTGTTTACGTATACGCGATTCGATCAATTTGTAATTTTTTTATGTTAGAAAATGGCAATCGAGCTAGCAGTTCACCTAATGTTAAGTGTTAACCACCGCCCACTGATATTAGTAGGGTTGCAGATGCGTTACCACCATTAAAGCGGGCCCGTGCTGTAGATGTCCATGTGCGGCGGTAATCATTTAACATCAGGTGAACCGCCTTCTCGCTCGTCAACTTTAATAAATAAATAAATATTTTAGGACACATTTTTACACAACGTTCTCTATTCCCAAACTAAGCAAAGCTTGCACTATGGGTTCTACTTTGACGTAAAAAAATCATACGTTTCGACGATTTCTTACGTACAGTAGATTTAAACGCCAATCGAGCTAGTACTACCGTCGACTATCTGAAATCGTGGGCATTTTAAAACGTACGCAGAAACTATCAGCCGCTTCGCACTCTAATCTAATTATATAAACAACGAGCCCCTTCATTTCGATTGTTTGGACAAGGAAACGTGGTAGCTCACTGCATTAAGCTATCGCTCATCCGGCTTCACCGTTCGAGCGCTAATGGTGGGAAAACCGGCCAAGTGCGAGTCGGACTCGCGCGCGAAGGGTTCCGTACCACCTATAAAACGGCAAAAAAAATCATGCCTGTTGTATGGAGCCTCACCTAAATATTTGTTTTTTCTGCTTTTTAGTATTTGTTGTTATAGCGGCAATAGAAATGTATCATCTGTGAAAATTTCAACTGTCTAACTGTCACGGTTCATGAGATACAGACTGGTCGCAGACGGACAGACAGACAGACATAGAGAGTGGATTCTTAGTAATAGGGTCTCGTTCTACTCTTTAGGTACGGGACCCTAAAAACTATTATTTGTAGAGCAACTCGCGGTTTTCAGCACATTCTCGAACTAAGACCGCATTAATCATGCCAGTTAAAAGTGTTCGGATCGGCCGATTAAAACGTTAATACATAAATGCGCGGTGTAATATTGAGTTGGAACACATTAACAGTTGGAGTAAGAAAACACATTAGAATCGAACACCGATGCCAGCTTTCCGCATTTTGGCCGGGATTCCGTAGCTTTGTTAGTGATTCTCGTCGATAGTTTACGAAAAGCCGCAAGTTCTCGTAAATAAATTAAAATTTGCCTCTTTATTAGCACTGATTAATCAAAAGGTATGTTTGATTTATTAGGTTTGGTTATTCGTTTAATTTTTAGCTTCCGTTATATAATCGTCAAGTTGTTTGACAGAAAGACTTTAAATCTGTCTGATAGAAGGAATACCTAATAATAGATATCGAATCACCATCGTAACATATTTAAAAGTTGTATTGCGTTGGTTATAAAGTTATATAGCGACCCGCCCCGGACGGGGATTCGCACGGATGCAATGTATACATATAAACCTTTCTCTTGAATCACTTTATCTAGTAAAAAAACCTCATCAAGATCCGTAGTGTAGTTTTAAAGATCTAAGCATACGTAGGGATAGACAGACAGCAGGGCGACATTGTTTTATACTATGTAGTGATTATTATGTAATCATTTTAATTTATTTAAACCTCCCACCGTTTCTTCCTTTATGTTTGATTTAAAACAATTCTGCTGGTTGTCTGCAGCACGAAGTGGTCTCGTGCTGCTGCAAGAGGGTGAGGGGATCGGAGAAGGTTTATCCTTCTCCGAGGCGTGCTCAGGCGTAGTACCGAGGGACACCGGTGCGTTCCATGGGAGATCCCGGAGTTCCTCCAAATGTACAGAAGGTGGCCACCGAGGGGGTTTTAGTGGGTAAGAACCCCACATAATCCCCACATAGGGGGAAATCTTCGCAAGATACCCTGTCACTTTTCATGACAGGGTATCTTGCGAAGATTTCCCCCCCGATACCAAAAAAAAAGGGTCAGTTTAGTAACTGTCACTTCACACCCCGGTACGTACGGAACCGCGCTTCGGTGTTACCATTTCCTATATTCCAAGTTCACTCCCGACATAATTCCATCGGCACATTTCCGCACGGCTCCGGGGCCGACGCGGAGAGCGGTTTATTTACTTACCCGCGCAATCTTAAATCTATCATTATTTATTTGGACTGGCCCATTCAGCGGCCAGTTAGTTAATTCGGCAGAGGGGGGGGGGGGGGGGGCGTTGTAAAGTCCGAAATAGCCCAATTCGTCGGTTAAACGGGCCGGTGGGACTGCGATTTATCGTTTCACATGGATCTATGTTCGACTGAACAAGGTCCACTTCGGACGTAACCTCACGTCGAGGTGAGCACGTGTTGCGATCACGTAATCCCCTGCCACTGGATCGGGGGAATGGCAGGGGTATGTGGGAGTTCCGGTGAGGAACGGGTACCCACTAAAAACCCACGTTGCACCTGTCCCTGTCGCATCAGCCGGGAACACGGGAACACGTGGACGCAATCTTCCGCGACCCCGGCGCGACTATGCCTTTTTAGGCCTCCTCTACTGCATCGTGGCGTGCCGAAGCAATTGGCACAGCACACGTCACGCGCCCCATATTGAGCGGCAGACACCCCCATGTCTGCCGCTCAGGGTCTCACTATCAGAGGGGAAGGTTGCGTGCGTAGGTCAGCCTCCTAGTCTCCGGCGGCGGATTTCCAGGGTGGCAGTTGCCTCCCTTTCTCTCTCCGCGGCCTCCTTCCGGGTGATAACGTCCTCGCAATATGCGAGGACAGCACCCCACGCTCTCTCACTGTCAACCATAGCTCGAACCACTGCTGGCAGCGAGAGGTCGTGCCCAACGATAGCGCATAGCTCTTGGCGCTGCTCCGTCCAGGCTGGGCACTCCTACAGTGCGTGTTGGGCCGTCTCCTCGGCACATACGTCACAGTGGTGACACTCCGCTGTGGGCTCCCTCCTCGCCACGCGAAACAGGTACCTCCCGAAACAGCCATGTCCCGAGAGGATCTGCGTCGCACGGTAAATGAGGGTGCCGTGTCCCCTGTCCAGCCACTTCCTGAGAACAGGACGTATGGCCTCTACGGTTCTTAAGCCGGCACTGGGATCACGTAACAACCTACTGAAACACTACGCCGAAAGTCCCGTGAAGCGCCTAGTATAGAGATGGTCTGATGGATGAGAAGTAAGGACTTACGCCCGGTTTCTGAAACACTGATCATCGTAGGAGTCAACTAATCAGCTGGTATTTGAGAAGAAAAGCCATTAGACAGCTGATTAGTTGACTTCTACAATGATCAATGTTTCAGAAACCGAGCGTTAATTTATCTTCAGTAATTTCAGGTCGTTGGGACTTACTACCAAACCCCTTCCACACAAAATAAAATACAACAGTACATTGAACCTTTTACTACTTTTTACTTTTCGTTATGACAGTGTTTCGACAATCAATAAGTGCAATGGCTCCATATTGATTAATATATTTGAATTTTAATACAATTATTAGTTGAGATTGATTTAAGACTCGGGCTTAACGCCGCGGCTGGTGACAATAGGGATGGTTCTTTTCCCTCTCAAAAAGCTAAGCATTACAAGTTAACACAACTACTCAGCGAGCAAACGCAACTAGCGTTCTTTGCACCATGCTTGGACTACGTTAATTGAATTATATGCAGGTAATTTAGATAGATTTAATGTTTTAAATAATGGATAAAGAAAATATATATTTAAAAAAAAGATTGAGTTGATAAAGACTTTATAGTATCGTAATGTCGTCTGTTTCATTGTCATCTTTAACATAGGCCTCCTCCACTATATCTTACACACACTTCAGCTTTGTAAACTGTATTCTAAATACATATATTGTGCATTCTAAAATATATGAGCATTTAATTCACGCATGTGTTTTGTGCCGCTGTCATCAGTGTTGTGATATGATTGGAAAATTCGGATGCGTATCACCAGACTTGCCTGTGTAAAACGCTGCGACCAATCGAACGGGAGCATTTCCATAATGTCCATTGTGATTGGTCGGATAAACGGCGCGGGCGATGCTGGTGCGCGGGCAAACGGCGGCGAACGCGTCGGCGAACAATTCCCGATTCCGAAGCACGCGGAAACGCGAAAATAAATACGTTAAACAAAACATGATCGGACGGTGTCTGCAAAAATACAACGCGGCAACAGAGCACAGTCGAACATATCGCAGGCGCGGTTTTAGCCAATGCGAGATTTATTATCTAAACAGTTGGGCTGTTACGCCACTGTTTAATATACTATTAAGTGGCAAATGGGCTTCTCGATGGCCCCGGCTCGAGTGCACGCCGGGGGGATAATTTAGATATGGACCGAAATAAAAGTGACGTCATAAAGTTTACGCGCCACCGACGGGGGCACAATAATGGGATGATGATTCCATCAATCTAAAAACAAATGACTGCTCTCGATATAACGTCGGATGGACTTTAATGAATCAAACTGACGTTTGAAGTCCCTTGAACAATCTGACTGAAGCTGTATTTTGGACATTCCAAGTGGGTGAATTCCGTTCGTTCTCATTTTGTTTCTTAATTTCAATAAGATATCAATCAAATTTGTTTTAGACTGTACAAATAATACCCAGCATATGTTGTTTGACTGGAAAAACTAGCTCTTTAAATAACTAGTTTTAGAATATTATTTCAAATAAAACGTAATAAACGATCAACTCGGTCCCAACTTCGATATGGCTTTTACTAAAGTAAAGTAGAGTAAAGTAACAGCCTATACGTGTCTCACTGCTGGGCAAAGGCCTCCTCTATACAGAGGGTATCAGGGCATAGTCCACCACGCGGCCCCACTGCTGATTGGCGGACTTCACATATCTTCGAAATATATTTTGTTTTGTTATTATTTCGAAAATATGCAGGTTTCCTCACGATGTTTGCCTTCACCGCGGAGCACGTGATAAGTCAGCACTGAAAGTTAAAAATTTCATTGGTGCCGGCACCGGGAATCGAACTCAGGTTGCTCGAGTATATTCAATTAAAGGCGAGCGCCCGGACACTGAGCTATCACGGCTCGGCTTTTACTAAAGACATTGTGGAAATTTATGAACATCTACTTCTATATCGCAAGTCATACACGCGCTCTATTATGAATATTTATTTACTTAGTTTCTGTTTTATTACAGACCGTTTTTAATCTACTCGATAGTATCTTTCAAATTTACTTATCAAAAAAAAATAAACTAATCTTTGGAATTTCTCTCGTTTATGGTATTTAAAAACTGAATGCTTCGAGAACTTTTTAGATTCTCGACTGTTCCGTGGCTTTACCAAAAGAAACTACTGTTATAACATGTCACTCCGGATCTTCACCTCAAAATGTCACTCGATCAATTCTTTTCGTTGCGCACTGACTTATCCATGTAGCTCGTATGTCTGACAAAGGTAAGCTTTGTCGTATGCGGGGATCGTAAATCCGCCTCGTCTTATCTCACAGTCTAATATTAATAATCCGCCTCGCCGTCAACAAGGAGGGCATGTCCACGTGGATTGCGCAGGCGGTGTCTGGTGCGCGGAGCGAGAAAAAGGCAACGGGTATTAACCCAATTGTCGGCTATTCCGGGCGCAAGCTCTCACTGGGAGCAGACAACGATCCTGCGTAGATCATACGGACCATCGGCCATTAGTATCGCAAATGGAAGGCCGATATTTGGACTGCTCCTTCACTGGCGCGCGGCGCGAGCTTTTGGCCCTGATGTCATGGAGAGCCTACTCGACAAACTTTCCTGTTTTAATAGACAAGATGATCATTTATTGTCTTAACTGTGTACAATAGTTGTTACATATTACATGATTTTTTTGTGTCAACAGTTTGCCCATTTCGGGCGTACAATAAGAGAAATGTAAATAATATAGTTAAAGGATTATTCGGTTCTACAATAATATTCATTTAAATTATAAAAACAATTACCTAGCAGCCATTCTTTTAGTTTAGTTTTAAACTGTACACCATCCAGTGATTTTAATTGATTCGGGTAAATAATTATCTCTTATCCTTTAAACGAGCAATTCTTGTGTATATATATATATATATATATATATATATATATATATATATATATATAATCGGAATCTCGGCAACGGCTCCAGCGATTTTCATGAAATTTAGTATGTGCGTAGATTCGGGGGCGAAAAATCGATCTAGCTAGGTTTCATTTTTAGAAAATGTCCTTTTATCCCTGTTTTCAGGGAATGAAAAATATAATTCGAATATGACGGTAAATTTCGCCACAGGAGAAAATGTCATAATAGCTCGGTCGGTAATCGGGCGGCCCCAAAACAGACGTCCGTGGTTCGCGTCACGATCATTTACACATTTATTTTTTTACTTTTTTTTCGATTCCAGATCATTGCTTTCTTTATTTTTAATTTTTTGTCGATTTGTTATTTTGTTATTTTTTTTTATTGTCCCTTTTTTTTTAAAGTTCTTTCTTTTGTGAAAAACATCAGTTCATATTTTCTTATTATTACGTTGGTAAGATCGAAAAATATTATGCATATTTCATTACTCAGTAATTTGTATCTAAATGTAATTTCCAAAATTCACCATTTACCAAAAAAAAAAAAAACAAGCCGAGCAAAGCTCGGTCCTCCGGGTACTATATCTTAATACCAGTAATGTAGGAGCTTTTTTGATATATATAACTCGAGCAAGGCACAGTACATATGTCATATTAATATCCCGACCGAAGATTCAGTTTTGTGTCACTTCTCTTAATATAGTATTGATTATCAGAATGATTTTTGATAAATAAACAGATTTATAGTATGTAAATACATGTTAGGGTTAAGATCTTATCTTATATATAAAAATGGATTGCTGTTCGTTAGTCTTGCTAAAACTCGAGAACGCCTGGACCGCTTTTGGCTAATTTTGGTTTTGAAATATTTGTTGCAGTCCAGGGAAGGTTTGAACGATGAGAAATTATGGAAAAATTGCATGGAAAATCGAAATATCAACGATTTTATTTTCCCATACAAATAGTACCTGTCAACCTGTCAACTATGTCTGTGTAATCTGTCAAACACTTTATGCGTGCGTTCCGATTCCTCTGGAAATAATTTATATGGCAAAACAACGTTTGCCGAGTCAGCTAGTTATTGATAAATATAAGCCTTACAGAGTCCTTAACATTTACATCGTATATTTCCCTTATACGTTTCTTTTGCAGAATGTGGAATTTACATTTACTGAGTTTCCCCAAAATATAATACCGTATGTCAATAGTGGATGAACATATCCTTAATAAGGATTTTTAGCAACATCTGCAGAGCTTACATTCCTCATAACAGAGATAGCATAACATCTTTGACGACCCGAATGGCGTAGTCGGTAGTGTAGCTGCCTTCTGCGCCAGAGGCCACACCCACACCGGGTTCGATCCCCACTACTGGAAAAATATTGAGTGATGAGCATAGTGTTTGTCTAGTGTCTGGGTGTTTATATATGTATAATGTGTATTTATTTACAAAAGAAAAGTATGTTTAAGTATGTCTATCAGTTTTCTAGTACCCATAGTACAAGCGTTGCTTAGTTTGGGACTAGAGAACGTTGTGTAAAATAATGTATCCTAAATATTTATTTTATTTTTATTTTATATCCACTAGTAATTGTTTTATTAACTTTTTCGACGTTTCAATTTAAGTGCCTATCAATGTTAACACCTAAAAATTTATTTGATTAACTTGCTCAGTGCTGTTATTGTCAATAATAACGTTCACGTCTTGCGGTATTTGTTTATATATATTATATAGTATTTGTTTATATGTGTAGCAGCCACATACATATTGATAATCGTTATCGATTTGTAGATCGAAATGTGTGCCACGCGAACGGTAAAGCTAAATTATTCTGTGTTCGATCAATCTATTTTTCGTACGGTCAGAAAATATTAAAAAAGGTTAGTGTTTTACTGATTGTTCGATAGATTATTTTCTTTTAGATTTATGATGCGACTCGATGATAAAATATAGTGTAATGGAGTTTATTCGCAAGGTATAGATTTATTAGGTCACAGTCTTCGAAACAATAATCCATCACTTATCTTACGAATTCGATAGAAACCTGGAACACTATTATTAAATTTATTTGCTCAAAGATCTTTTGACGTAAAAAAGTAAAGCAAAGCAACAGCCTATATGTCTCAATGCTGCCCAAAGGTCCGCTGTACAAAGGGACTTTACAAACATATCTTTGAAATATTTTTTTTAAAGTGCAGGTTTTTTTATGTGAAATAGGCAAACGAGCTGGCGGTTCGTCTGATGTTAACTCCAGCACTGTCTATGGACATTTGCAACACCCGCAGGGTTGCAAGTGCGGTTCCACCTATAAATAAAGTGGGCCCCGGCTACCCCACTCGTCGAACCCGGGGAGCTTGACTGATTTCGGAAACCGGGTCGCCGATGCTACTCCGCCTTCTGTTAGTGCTTTTTGCAACACCGTAATGAAGCACTCGAACAATTCGCGGGTGTTTAAAGAGGAATTCGCCGTTGGGTTAAATAAAAAGTTGACATTAATGAGGTTGCAGCGGAGACGGCTGCATCGAGCATCGATAACTACTGAAATACACGAAAAAAACCACTTCTACGACCCGTGACGGAAATCGATTAAAAAACTTCCATTTCCCATTACAACTTTAGAATACTGGACATTAAGTTATCATTTTAGAGAATTACTAGTGAGTATTTTTACACAATGCTTTTAAATAATATCAATTCCATATTTTATTTTACAAAATGCTTGTCTATAATATCGATTCCATCTTGAAATCGTTACCTTCGCGATAGCAACAAGTCTTGACAAATCCCAACATCCATTGTATCTTCTATGATCAACTCTTGGCACATGATTCACCGACAAGATCAATGGGATACAACTGCTGTCACTCAGACCTGATAGACTTCGGTTTTGTATCGGGGATTATTGATGTAAATCCAGCGCGAATTGATTCGCTGCAGACCTACTACAATACGGAAATCCCTCGCGGTTGTAATGTATATTAATAATAAATAAATAACGTTATATTTCTCAGATTTGCCTTGCTTGAAAGGTGCGTTACCGAGATATTATTTATTTAACAAAGGATATTTTGTTTAATCAAAACCTCATCAAAATAATGTACACAAACTCGTTTGACATGAACGGGCTTGACAGAGGCAGACGTTAAAGGTACTTGATCATTTCTTCGTGAGAGAATGTACCAAAGGAAAAGTTTACACAGCATACCCAAGAAGGGCTGTTAGCTGCGTTGCCAATCTCTAACCGAGGTAACTAATTAGTAATGTAGGTAACCTAGAAATTTAAGTTTTTTATAGTGCTAATCTCTGCACTAAAGATTGAATATTACTTAAAATATGTAGAAAAAGTACGCAAAGATTGTCGCCGCTGTGGGAATCGGCATTCGCGGCCTGACGCTCTAGCCACTGAGCTAAACGGCCGATTGCCACACCTGTGCCAATCAGCCGTTTGCGTACATCTTTGCGTACTTTTTCTACATATTTTAATTAATAGGTAACCTAATTTGTCAATTGTAAGAGTGAATAGTTCCCCATTATGCTGTTTCGATTGCGGAACCTTGATACCTCCCCGGAAGAGACGGCTCATTATGTGACTGCAGAAGCTGCTTAGTGTCGTGGAAACCACTTAAACCTTCACAATCATGTAAGAAATCAGATTAATTGAAAAGTTGTTAAAGCAACTATACTCGAAGCCTCAAAATCGCGATCCAACATCTATCGTGAAGCATCACTGACCATCGCTGATTTTTGATATATGTTACGTTTACACAAAAATTATAATATATTAATAATAATTACGTATCCAATATCAAAAGCCATCTTGCAAACATCAATAAATACATCGAGAAGTACAAACTTTCTCCCGCGCTTAAATTCGATATAATTTTGTTAATCTGATTAATTTTGGATCACCCGAAATCGCCCAATCAGTATTTGGCACACGATGTGTCGATAGAATTGTTGCCAGATTAATAACGAACCTCCTATCGGTCCAGATATTTGCTTTGATGCATCTATTGCTAAAAATCGTCTGTCATAACCTACCAGTGTTTTACTCTTTTACTCTTTTCTATATAACACTCCCCTGTCTGTCACAGCCAGTATCGGAATACTTGGCGTCGAAATCTCGAGCAATGTCCAGTTCCGCGGTCAATTGGAAAGTAAGGCCAAATTGGCCTCAAAGAGGCTCGGTGTGCTCAGCAAGGCGAGACAGTACTTCACGTCGGCTCAACGCCTAAACCTTTATAAGGCGCAAATTCGGCCCCACGTGGAGCACTGCTCTCACCTCTGGGCGGGAGCCCCCTGTTACCAGCTTCTTCCAGTTGACCGCATCCAACGTAGGGCAGCTAGGGTTATCGACGATCAAGGTCTTTCCGATCAGCTTGATCCTTTGGCTATGCGTAGAGATGTTGGGTCACTATGCATCTTCTACCGCATCTATCACGGGGAGTGTTCCGAGGAATTATTTGGATTGATCCCAGCGGCTGAATTTCACCATCGGACATCGCGCCAAAACCAAAAATTTCATCCACACCACCTCGATGTCCAGCGTTCCACCACAGCGCGATTTTCAAGGCATTTC